ACGCGACCTCGCCAGCGAACACAACGACGGACCCGATCTCGACTGGGAACGCGATGACGAACCCAACCTCGATGGCGAACCTGACGACGGACCCGACCTCGACTGGGAACACGACGACGGACCCGCCCTCAACAGCAAACACAACGTTGACGACGGATGCAACCTCGACAGCGAACGCGACGACAAACCGCGAGACAGCAAACCCAACCTTGACAAACTCGACGAAAAATCATGGGACGGCATCGACAGCGAGCATGCGACGACATTTTGAACTCGAACTTAGCTCGACAAGCCGCTCGACAGCGAAACTAGTCAAGCTCGAGCTCCGTATCTGACAGTCGAGCTCAACTCAAACAATCACTGACTCGAGCTCTACTCGACTCGTTTGCATTCCCAAAGGAGAGTCTTGGCTGGTAGTCTGGTTGTCAACAAACATTCATCATTGTCGCATCAGAATCCCCACCGCGAATAGAAGCTTAGATTGCACAGTTAACAAGAAATTCCTCAAAAATCTACTAGTCAATCCGAGCCAGAAGATCACTACATGTCCACATAATAACTAGCCAACAGAAGAGAGCAGAAAAGTAAACACACGAGCTCGCGCGTGCAGCCTGGTGGTTGACGTGAAGGACTTCCTCCCGCGAGACTCACGTTCGAGCCCCTAACGTCCCAAAAAAAAAGTAAACACAATAGGCAATAGCATTCAGAGAAAAGATTTTTAATCTCGTAAGACTTTTTCGATTTAGAGGTTTAAAGAAGATTTGATTTCTTATAATTTATCTTAATTGATCTAAATATTTATATGAGAATAAGAATTCTTTTACTCATCATGTTCTATTTGACAGTTTTTTCTTGCTTTATTCGTATTTTTTACTAGACTAAGACTTCGTTTGAGATGACTTTTTTATTATTTTTTTAAGTAACTTTCTAATAAAAAAATTAAATTTGGTATTAAAAAACTGCTTTAAGATGCAATAAGAAAATCGTCACAAAAAAAAACTACAATTCTTTTATTATTTTTTACTGTTTCTTAAAACTAATTTTTTAATACAAATTAACAATAAGAAATTCATCCAAAAAGTAGCCTAAATGTTAAAGGATGTCTGAAATTAGATGTTAAGAAAGAAATTGATTGCATGAAAGCTTAAAAAAAGTTAAACGGAGGCATCATAAATTACATTCATTGTGAGTATGGTCTTTTTCTTCTGCTGAGGCATTAATTTCTTGTCCCTACGAGCAATTATTTCTCTGTCACCGTCAGATCGTAGTCATATCATGGTTACAAATAATTATTACGTCATCTGACCGGACGTAGAGCTACGTTCGGCCGCCAATAACATATCGTCATGTGCTCTTACTCTTTACTGCGCGGCCCGACGACTTGACCCGGAGCGGAACCCGAGAATGTTATGTTCGCGATTTTCTCTGTATTGCTCGGTATTTGCTAGGTATTGCTTTGCAAAAATGATAAATACCGCTCTGTGAAGATCAATACCATGCAAATACAGAGTTTTTTTACAACTCGGTAAAACTCAGTATTTTCTTAGGATTTGCTCGGTATTGCTAGGGATTTGCTCGATATTGCTAGAAAAAACTCGGTACAACTCGGTATTTACTCGGTATTGCTAGATATTTGCTCGGTATTGCTCGATATTGGTTATTGCCGAGCAAAATCGATCAATACCGAGCAATCTTGGGTCTGTTCCGGGTCGAGTTGTCGGGGCGCGCGGTAAATAATGAAAACGCGTGGCGCGATTCTATTGGCGGCTGAACGTAGAGTTGCGTACGTTCACCGGACCAAATAAAAGTTCCATGGTTACACATATTTTATATAGGCTTGGGAGCTCTTTTTTGCGGTACTGATCCAGATACCTTTCTGCCAGTTTTGTCTTATCAGTTCTGTCTCCACGGCCTTGTGTTGGCATTGACTGTTTGAGTGGCTTTGTTCTTTCTAAAGAATTAATGTTTTTTTCTGTATTTCTACAGCTAAGGCTAATAGATTATAATAGATTTTATTTTTGTTATGCAGCCTTTTTATGCTGATAGGTTTTTGTTGACTACTACTGGCAGGTTGTGGTAGTAGTCAATTTTTGTTTCATGTATTCTTTTTGATGGAATGAAATAGGCTTAGGCCCCAAATTTTCCCAAAAAAAAAATAATAATAATAAAATCAGCAATATTGGGACACACATGCGATGTCTTCCGCCATCTCCCGAACCCTAAACAACCCAAAAAAAAAAAAAAAAATAACAGCAATATTGTCGGAATCCAATGGGCAATGGCTATAACATGATTATCTATTTTCTTTCCAAAGCTCAACGGCAACAATTCCCAAAAATATTAGAACCCAAGAAATATTTTTTTGGCAAAATTTAACCATTAAGATATATCTCATGATATTATAAATCATTAGTTTGAAGTTGAAATATATATTCATTTTTTTCGCAACTCAGTTTGATTTATTGGTTGGGAACTTAGACTATTAACTAAGTGTAGAAAATGACGAACATAAGAGGTAAAAGAAAAGCTATGAATTGATATTTTCTTTTCTCCCTTACAAGATGACAGAGGTCTAATATATATAGACCATAGACATTACAGCAGAGTACAACAAACCAATCCTATGCCTACACATCAGCTAACCGTACCGAGACTTGAGCAAACATTTATTTATTTATTTATCTGTTTGCTCTAATATCCCCCGGCAAACTGATGGATCTTCTGTTACAGTCAGTTTGTTGCGAAGGAGCTGAAAGCGAGGTGTAGATAACGATTTTGTAAGTATATCTGCAGTTTGATCTATGGTACTGATGGGTAGAATGCAAATGTTGCTTTGTTGAATATGATCCCTTATGAACTTCTGATCAATCTCTATGTGCTTTGTACGAGCATGGAAAACCGGATTGTTTGCGAGTGCAATGGCGGAGGTATTATCGCAGTAGATTTTTGTAGGTGAATCTTGAGAGATGTCAAAATCCTCGAGTAGTCTCCTTAGCCAGACTATGTCAGATGTAAGGGCTGCGAGTGCACGGTACTCTGACTCAGTTGAGGATCGAGCTACTGTATGTTGCTTTTTGACTGTCCAAGATATGATCGTATCGCCTAAGAAAGAGCAGTATCCTGAGGTTGATTTTCTGGAGATAGGATCGCCCGCCCAATCCGCATCTGAAAAGGATGTAAGATTGAGATTAGTTCGGGTTATGGGTATGCCAAATTGTAGCGTACCTTTGATATAGCGGAGAAGTCGTTTTAGCATAAAAAATTGCTGTGGTTGAGGATCATGAAGATGCTGAGATAGTTGGTTCACGCTGAAAGCGATGTCAGGTCGCGTGATTGTCAAATATTGTAATGCCCCAGTTAATCGACGGTAGAGAGTAAGATCCTGAATTTCCGCGTCAACCTTGAAATCAGTCCAAATTCCTGTTGATTACCTTGAGCAACTAACCTTGCCTTGTACCTTGCTATCGATCCGTCAGTATTGGTTTTCGTTCTATACGTCCATTTACATCCTAAAATGGGAGCATGCTGGGGAGGCGGAACAAGGGACCAAGTGCCTTGTTTTTGTAAGGCAAGAAATTCCGTGGCCATGGCCTGGCGCCATTCCTGAATCTTGACAGCTTCTGTAAACGTAGTTGGATCGGACTGCGGCTGCGCGTTCGTCGTCAAATCCTGATCCAAATACAGCTCTCTTCAATGTTCGTGGTCGCGGCCGTCGCAACCGTGGCAGAGCACCACCCAACAACAACACAAATAACAACTCTACCTCCCGCAGCTCGAATGCTTCCACAACCATCTGTCAGATTTGTCTAAAGAAAGGTCACTCGGCACAATCGTGCTGGCACCGGCAGAATCTTCAATACACTCCATCTCAGCGTCAAGCTCAGACGGCTCTTCTTGCCAACAATGAGAACACAAATCTTGAATCAAATTGGTTCTTGGACTCGGGTGCATCTACTCATCTAACCAACTCTCTTGATAATCTGTCAATCTCGCGACCCTACCAAGGATCAGATACTGTCACTATCGGTGATGGAAGCGCTGTGCACATTGCAAATACAGGGGCGGGAATACTCCCGACCCCGTCCCGTAAGCTGTTTTTATCACAAATCTTACATTCTCCTTCCATTCACTATAATTTACTATCTATTTCTAAATTAACGAAGGACAACAACCTTGCTATCACTTTTGACCCATCTGGTTTTTCTTTAAAGGATCTGAAGACTCGCACAGTAATTTTTCAAGGACCCTGTAGCAAGGGTCTTTACCTCATGCCAGCACATCCCAAGATTCAAACTCATCAAGCTCTCGCAGCAGAGGTTCTTCAGAGTGATCGCTGGCATCAACGCCTCGGACACCCCAATAAAAGAGTTTTTGAACGTATTTCTTACTGTAATCCTACTCTCAAGTTAGGCAAATACTTTGATAATTGTGTTCCCTGTAAAACTGCTAAATGCCACAAAATTGCTTTTGAATCATCTACTAACCGACGGACCTACCCCCTGGATCTCATCCACTCGGATGTCTAGGGACCGGCTCCGACGGTTTCTAGCCAAGGATTCAGATACTATGTTCTTTTTACTGATGATTTTACGCGATTTACTTGGTTATTTCCTTTACAACAAAAATCTGATGTTCTGTCTGTATTTACGGATTTTAAAATGCAAGTTGAAAATTATACTTCGTTTAAAATTAAAGCTCTCAGGACGGATGGTGGAACCGAGTATATAAATCATAACTTTGCTACCTTTCTCAAAAAACACGGCATCCAACATCAGATTTCTTGTCCCCATACTCCGGAACAAAATGGCCTTGCCGAAAGGAAGCATCGGCACATCATCGAGACCACGCGTACTCTTCTACACAATGCATCTGTTCCTTACATTTATTGGCCGGATGCTGTGTTAACTGCGATCTATCTAATCAATCGCATGCCCTCGCCTAATACCGGTAACATTTCACCATTTCAACTGTTCTATAAAACACCCCCTCAATACGAACACCTAAGGATCTTTGGCTGCGAATGCTATCCTCTTTCCCCACCTCAATCTCGTCACAAACTTCAGCCCAAGTCCAAGCCTCACGTGTTTCTTGGTTACAATGACAAGTATAAAGGATACAAATGTCTTGATCCCTTGACCAATCGGATCACGTTCTCTAGACACATCACGTTTAATGAATCTAAATTTCCCTGGAGATGGTGTAGAGGAGATGACAGGATCGGTGTTGCCGGTGAGCGACGACCTGGTGTCGTCGACGCTGGAGGTGGCGGAAAGCACCATGGAGCAGAGCCGAACCCTGCTCTGATACCATGTAGAAAATGACGAACAGAAGAGGTAAAAGAAAAGCTATGAATTGATATTTTCTTTTCTCCCTTACAAGATGACAGAGGTCTAATATATATAGACCATAGACATTACAGCAGAGTACAACAAACCAATCCTATGCCTACATATCAGCTAACCGTACCGAGACTTGAGCAAACATTTATTTATTTATTTATCTGTTTGCTCTAATACTAAGAGATCTTGAGTTCGAGTATTGTGTATGCATTATATATAAGAGTCTGACTTAATCGGCTAAACGCCCAAAAAAAAAGTTGAAATTTTAATTTTCTATTAAAAATTTTGAAAAATTTGCCTGCTCTATCTTATTTCTTTTTTTTTTATTTGGCAAAATAGGACAAAATAACGCAATTGGTGGGGAAAATGTCTAAAATATCCTTATTTAAACAAAATTTAACTGCCTGCCCTCACGAATGCATAGGTTTGTCCATGACTGTGATTGACATGCAACTTCAAGAGCAAAATAATTATTTTTCTGAATACAGTACTAGCTGATTCTTTGTGTGGCATGTCTAAACCCAATTGATTCCTCCCATGTTCGTGATAAGAAAAAATTGACATGTCTAGCAGAATTATATCCAAGTGATTTTTCTGTCATTGATATTGTGGCTCTTAAAAGCCAATTATCAAATTATATAATTGACATGCGTACTGATGATGAGTTCTCTTCTCTAAATAGTATTGTTGATATTGCAAAGCAAATTATTAAGATAAAAAAGGATCGCATATATCCTCAGGTTATAGGCTTATTACTTTAGCATTAACTTTACTAATTGCTATTGTTATAGTGAAAAAAATATTTTCTGCAATGAGGATTATCAAACATTGATTACGTAGTAGAATGAGGTATGATTGACTCAATGATTGTCTGGTATCTTACATTGAAAAAAAATGTATTTGATTTAATTTCTATTGAAGTTGTAATTCAATATTAACAAAAGATGTAAAATAGATTAATAAGCTTCTAATAGTTTTCAATTTATCTATTATAACGAAATATAAGATTTTGTTATATATATTAAATTTTGTTCATTTATATGAAAATTTTGCCCCCCTCTAAAACGAAAGACAGATTCTTCCCTAACCAAGAGAATATAATACATAAATGAATACATGTGAACTATGGACAGTAGCTGATCAAACTAATTAGATCTTGATGAACGAGGACATCGTAATAACTTGGGTTGGATGGAATCATCAACCCATTTGAGGAGGTTATCGACATATATGGTAGATGGAGTTGCCAACCTAGAGGAGGGAGTTGCTGATTTACTATGCTAAGTTGCTTACTCGCAGTAAAGAGTCGCCATCTTACTGAAAATCTCATCAACTCATTGCAGGATGTCGTCGCCTTGCTAAATCATGCCATGGCTCTGCTTGGAGGAATTTTACCGACTATCTTTAAGTCCCGAATAATTGTTCAAATACACTAGTCGATTTCCATTTGAACCAGGTTCTCAGAATATTTGGGTGTACAAAAACGTATATATGCCCATTAGTGCATCATATTATTACAACTTTAATAATGTAATTAAGTATTGAAAAAAAAAATTTAAAAGCAGGTAAAGTCGCCCATCAAACAAGAGACTTAGTCAGACGAGTCACTTATTTTAAAAAATTTACTATTGTTAGTTACCTGTTAAACGAGCGAATTACTATAGTAAATTCAGAAAAATAATTTAAAAATAAAATAAGTAGAAAATATATTAAATAAATTTATTAAAAAAATAAAAACAGAGACAAAAACAAAAAAAATAAAATTAAATAGTTTAATTATATATATATATATATAGGTCAAAATTTGATAAAAAAAATAGCATTTTTGTTTATTTAGATATTATTAAAATTTTAATCTGATAATTTTTTTAATGGATAAAGATTATATCGAAAATTAAAGTTTTTTTTTTTTGGTATAAATTTATTTTTAATATTTAATTAGATTATTAAAATTTTAATAATACCTAATTTAAAATTTTGTCCATCTGTATATAAGAATCATCAATCTTTGTGGATATGTACCTTCTCTATTACAATAATCGCAGCTTTCTAGAAATGCCTTCAACACCTACCTACATGTAAAAGCATTCAAACGTTCTTTCAAGATTCATTTATTATATATAAAAAAAGATTAATTTTATCATATAAAAATTAATATATAGTTTTTTTTAGCTATTGAGAATTGTATCTTTTTATTTAAGTTTCTATTAATAAGAAAAAAAATATGAATATAAATATGCAAAAATTACATAAAAATCCTAATCAAAATTTTGCTAGTTCAAAATATGTTGAGCAAACCTTTAATCAAGATGGACCTTAAAATTATTGGGTTATTTTAAAATGAGTGCAATAAATGAATAATTAATATTATATACATTTTAAAATAAATATAAGAGTTTTAAAATAAGTCAGAAGTATTTTTTTTTTTGTCATCATATATTAATAGAATTTTTTTCTATAAATTATGAAATAAAAATAAATGATATGCAAATAATTTCTTTGAAGAATTTTAATGGGACATTTTTATATGATATTAAATGCTTATAATTATTTTAAATTAAAAAATATAAATGCCACCATGAAATAGATGGGAGAATGTGTTTCTTAAGATAATTAAAATGAAATATCGATGATACATTATTTAAAATTGACTTCACAAGCATTAATCTTGATTAATATTTGAATTAAAAATTTCCAGAATCAAATGTTAGACTAAATGAATTTTAATTTTAATAAATTTGTTATCAAACTAAATATCTTAGTGAGATTGTATACACACATATGTCAATGTAAGTACTTCACAAGTATCTAATAGGTTCTTATTGAGATACCTGCTTTGAACGATCTCACCTCCAAGGAAAAGCACTCACCACAAGGAAATGAAGTTGGCCAATAAGCTGATAAGAATCATTATACAAATTCATGGTCGATCTCCCAATTAATGAAGTAATTAATGACTTGAAGAATTGCCCAACTGGACTAACTGAGGAGTAGTCACCTCTAGCAAGTCTCCAAAGAGGTCTTGCCCAAACACATATGAGTTTCAAACACCACTCATCTCATAGAAATTGTTCATCCACAGTCATCACTCATGGTTAAGGCTAGTCAACATCCTTTATCCAACTACAAGAAGCACAAACATCTCAAATGTTATAACTATAATCTCTCAAACATGAATAATCCTCAACCTACGACCTCTACCAAACAAGAGGGTTCGCCTTTTTTATTTCAAAGGTATGATCAATCTTGTTTAAACGAACTCGCCACTTTGTTCAAAGGATTTGCCTTTACATACACATCATATGTCTGAGGCCTCGAGGAATAGCCCATGAATATTTGTATAAAGGACTCGCCACAAGATTAGGGTCTCAATTACATGCAAAGATCCACATGGAGGTCAACCACCTGGGTCATGTGTTTATTATAGCCTTATAGCCTATAATAAGTATTATCACACATTATATTTTGTTTATTTTTTTCTCATATAAAAGTTATTTTCTATAGCCCTTTAATCACTATAAATAAATGATTAAGAAGTATTTTAAGGCTTTATATTGCTAATTTAACTTTTAGATTCTTTGGGGATATATTAAGAAAATAGATAAGAATCCCATCACCTATAAGAAAGGATTTAATAAAACTCATATTGATTATTTTCTTATAAAAAAATAGATCCTTTAGAATGTAAAGATTATAAAGTTATTCCGAGTGAAAGTTTATGTATAAATCATCGCTTATTAATTTTGGACTCTAAGATGAAACAAGTGAATATGAAAAATAAAGAAACGAGTCCCACCGTGGTCGTTAGAAACTTATGGACCTGATCGTAACAACGGGTTTCTGGAGAGCTCACCGCCGGTGAGAGTTTAGCGGCAAGTTTGGGTGGAGGAAGGTGGGGATAAGTCTAAGGAACTCACATAAGCAATGTATCAGGCTTGGGGGCTCTTAGAAGAGAGAAAATGCCAAAAGTCCTCCTCATTGACCCTACAAAGCCTATTTATAGACTTAGGATTAAGATCAATGACCTAGATCTATTATGAGATCAATGAGAAGGGAATTAGGAGTTATTAGGCCATGGATTTGAATTAGAACCCATTATGAATCAATTCAAAGCACTTAGGAGCTTTGATTTGACCTAAATAGGTCAAATTTGATCATATAAGACTTGGGTTGACCAAGTCAAAGGTCAACCCAATCAATATGGCCAACTTGACCTAAGGGGGTCAGAGGTTTGAGTTAAAGAAGGGTTGAACTGATTTAAAATCAATTTGGGCTCATTCAGGCTTAATGGGTCAACCAGGTTGACCCATGGCATGGGCCTGGGCCCCACAGAATTGGTTTAACCCACTGAACCCAATGGAGGGGGTCTTGGCATGGGGTCTGGCTTGATCAATTTGACCAAATAAACCCCCTTGACCCAGGGGTTTAATTAGGGACCCTTAAGCTTAAATCACCCAAATAATGCCCTTATTCACATAAAACAAAATGATTAATTTTGGACATGTCAAAAATATGCCAAAGATTAATATCCCACAGTCTTAAGACCTAATGAGTTCATCTGAATGAATATTTACAAAAATACCCTTAGGAGTAATACTGAAATAATTTTAATTTCATAATTAGTCCAGGCTTGAGACCATAGGCTTTTATAGATATCCTCAAAGACCTTTCTAATGATCCTAAGAATACCTTATTTGGACAAGTGTGTGAGGAGATATTAATTTCTTAACTTTATAATGATTTCTAGATTTTTTTAATTCAATCAATTACACAGTCAGTGCATGCACTTTTACACATGGTGATATGTAATTGGTTTATCAGTGATTGGTAGCTAATGGTAAAACATGAGATTAACAGCAACCATCTAATTCAAGATCAGGCGCTTGAGATCGAATCTGCTCAGAGACCGCTGGATCAAATTGGAGCCATTGATCGAGATCAACAGCTCTGATTTTGTCTTTCATCTCCCATGTGCATTCTCGGCCATAAAGATATTTCGACGTGATCCGAGAGATCTCACCAATGAAATCAAATGAAATTTCATAGAGAGCATCACCATAACATTCTCTGTTGATCCAAAGGTCAAAAGTCGGTGGGTCGATGGTTTATTTCACACTTGACCATAACTACCTATCTAGGAGCTAGGGATTAGGTTTTTACCTCAGACAAAGATCTAAATCCCTATGCCTGAGTTCAGACTGCTTCATTCAATAGTGGGAAGACTTTCTCCTTTAGGAAGCACGACCCAATGAGAAATAAAAGTGGGAGTTTGAACGGGGGTAGAGAGGTTTCATCGGAGCTCGCTTGAAATCATTGTAGGAGGGCATATGATAGCATGGGGAGCTTAGCAAAAGTTACTAGAGCTATGTGAAGTCTTTTTAAAATGAAAGAACACAATGAGGGGGATACGGATTGAGGATGCCCTATTCAAGCTATCTCCTATGGCTTTGGATGGTCAGGATGATCGAGACAGGCTCTGAATGACATTCAGCTAAAGGGGACAACCAAGGATAGTCTGCATGAGCTGAAAGGAGGCGAGCTCAAGCTTTGGGAGGGCATGGTTCAGTTCATGTGATGGGGGGACCATGAAGGGTCAGTTTAACCTGCTCTGATTGCCACTGGCCACCACTTGGGTTGGGCTAAGTGAAATGATGTCTGAGAGCTTGCTGAACCCAATGGGCATAGTTAAGCCTAATCATGCAAGATGGCTCAGGTAAGACTGATTTGGGAACATCTGGGTTACCTTATGTCCTGATCTAGGTCAAGCCATGGGCTGGGATGACTATGGGAGGTGTATGGGACTTGGGAATGCTTAATGAAAGTGCCAATTAGGCTTGGTGAAGCCTAGGTTTAATGTTGCTCAGCCTAAAGTGATTTTGGTCACTTTGTATTAGCCTAACTCCTAGCCCAAGTGGACTTAAGGGGTGAGCAACCTAGGGTAGGTGCGAGGGGTCAAGGTAGACCCAATGCAAGCATTAGCTTGATCTCATTTGGCTTAGGTTGTGTTTTGGCTCAAGAAAAGTCTATTTGGACTACTTGGGTTGATCCATATGGCTAGCCCAAGTGAACCAAAGGGTCATATCTTATATGGAGGGTTCTTAGGGACCTAATGGACCACTCTAAGGGTTTAATTTGGTTAGGCAATGCTTGTGGCATTGGATTTGGTTTTGATTTAGGTGTATGGTTGATTTGGTCAACCATGGTTGACTTGGTCAACTAAGTTAGACCAAGGATTGGGGTTAGGTCCAACAATTCAAAATGATGTCTTGAAACCAATGTAGGTGGTCCTAAGCACTAATGAGATCTTTTTTGTATAAAATGCAAGTTTGAGCCCTAAATGGGTCATTTGGTCAACCAAGCATGATCAAGGCTGGGTTTTGAGTTCAATGCATCCCAAATGATATTTGGAATGCATTGAAAGAGGTTCCAAGAGTTGGTTTGAATGATCCATGTTGAGGTTTTTGAGAAGGTTTTATTTTTTTTTAGGAATTTTGGAGTTTAGTGGGCCAATGGTAAACTAGGGTCCACCAAAAGTTCAATTTTGTGCATAACATATCATAACAATGATTATGAACTTGTTCAAGGGTTTTGAGGAGGTTCCCAAGGCCAAATCCACGAGATGCGGGATTTAGTTGTATGGGCTGTAAATATTTGATTGTTTTACACCATTTAAAATTCAATTCAATTTTTTGGGTTAGAGAGCATGGATTGCTCTCAAATTTGGAGGGTTGACCTTAGGGACATGCCAAATTGATATGCAATTGATGAATTATGAATCCAAGATTATTTGATTTTGTTTTGAGGTGATTGAAAAAGCACCCAAAATGAGTTATGGGACAAGAGATTTTGACCTTGACTTTGGGTTTGGACTTTTGGATTTAGTTTTGATTTTGAATAGTCAATCATATATAAAAGTGAGGTCAACATTTGACCACTCAATGCTGAAACCTAGAGCCGCATGATTGCCGAACCATCTCGTGTGGGAACCTAGAATCACAAGGTGTCTTTTATGTTTTATTTTTTTATTTTGGGATATTAAACCAGCCGGAGATCAGTTGGAGGCAATTAACTGAGTTCACATTAATCTACATACACCTAACCAAACATAAAAAATAATTCTCTAGCATTCACTTTCAACCTCAAAATATTTATTTTATATTGTATTTTTTTTAACTAAGGTATATAATATCCATTTTATAGCCCCTAAATAAAATGGGAAGAAATGTATAACTCAAATTTTAATTTATTTTGGGGCAATCAGCCAATTTTTTACTGTGCAGGCTCATCACTGTTGCCGCCAGATGTCGCCGTCAACCATTCACCGCTGGTTTTTTTTTTTTGGGAAAATTTGGGCAACTGCCCCTATATTTCAAAAGAAATACTGATTACATGAAAAGAAGGAAACTGCAAAGAAAAAAGCTCCTGAACTAGTACAAACAATTAGGAGCAACAGTAAAAAAAGAACCCAATTACATGTATACCACCCAATATAAACCAAAAAAGATAATTGAAGAGCCAAAATTGGTAGATACAGCAGCCAAAAACAGCAAATAGCCACCACAGACGAAGATGATAACAGAGTTGAGCAGCTGGGAGGCACCAAAATCCAGACCGAGCAAAACCCTGCAGGGAAGAGAGAAAAAAACCAGCTCCCGATGCCAGGAGACTGGACTCAGAGAAGAGAAAGTGTCCCTGGTTGCCCAAAGACCCTCCAAGGAACACACATTGGGGAGCATCATCATCGTCCAGTCCCCCATAACCCCAGGCAAAACGAAGGGACAGGGGACCAAAAAGAACCTGCCATTTATAGATTATCCAGCAGAACATCAACGTTCTTCCAATTCAACAGCTTCTCAAATATCACCCTTTTGATAGACAGCAAAACAGTGGTAGAACATTGATTTATACCACTAAATCTCCTACAATTTCTTTCTTTCCAAATGAAATATATACTGCAGCAGACCGCCAACTTATAGAAGTTCAAATCAGTCACGTTAGCACAAAATTTAACTTTTATCCAGTCATATAATTGCAATATGGTCGGTCTGAGAAGAAAAATTTCCACCCCAGGAATTAAGCTTCTTAGAATGGAAAATGAGAAAGAACATTCAAAGAAGATATGAGCAGTAGATTCATCACAGGTATGGCATAGGCTACAGGTTTTAGGAACCAGAATATGCCTCATTCTTAGCGCATCAGCCGTCTTCAGGCCATCCCGTAAGGCCAACCAAACAAATACAGCATGTTTAAGAACATACTTTTTATGCCAAACCAATTTAGCCCAAGAGCAATCATTATAATCAGAGTAAAATTCCTTGATAAAAAGCTTAAAATGAAAGCAGTTCTTTTCCTTCCATAGCAAACTAGGCCCCTCACCCTCCTCAATATTAATTTGAGACAGGGTCTGATGATATAAGGAAGGAATTACCCCAGAATAATCCCAACCATGCATAGAGATAATATTTTTCAACATGATGTCAGGTAACCCGAAATTATCCACCATACCACAAAAATTCCCCAACGTAGAGTTAAAGCACCAGTGATCCCACTTAAGAGATATAGGGGAATTATTGTAAATTCTAAACTGAAAGAGGGATTTAACATTTCCAGCAGTGCAACAAATCGATTTCCACAATTTTGAAGCAGAAAAGTGATGGGGCTTCCAAGGAGAACTATATTTAGCTAACAGCCAACAAGCTAGGGGAGAAACAGAATTGTACATTTTTAAAATAACAGAACAGTTGAATGCAAACTGCATAGCTTTAATAGAATAAATCCCCAAACCTCCTTTTTCTTTGGGTAAACAAATTTTATCCCAAGAAACCATATGGAGCTTCTTATCAGTATTGGAGTTGCCAAAAAACAAGAATCTAGAACATACTTTCTTGAATACCTTGTGCACAGTTTTAGGTATTATCGACCCCCTAATCCAGTAGGCTATAGTATTTTGAATAGTGAACTTGAGGTATTGAAGTCTGCCCGCAAGAGAAAGGAGGTTAGCTTTCCAGCCATTAAGTTTTTTGTTAATACTATCCAACAGGGGCAAGAAATCAGCAACTTTGAGCCTATAGAAGGAGAGAGGAATCCCCAAGTAGGTAATCTTGGAAACAATATTATGAATGGAAAGCAATTGGCACACCTCCAGCTGATTACTCACATGCTTAGGGAACATAATATAGGATTTATCATGATTAATTACAAGTCCAGAGGAGTTAGCAAAATCATTAATGACAGAGACAAGTATTTGGCAGTTCTCATTTGTAGCCTCACCAAAAATTAAGACATCATCAGCATACAAGAGATGTGAGAGTTTGTAATTACCATTAGAGATACCTTTAAAGCCTCTACCATCCAGCAAGTTAGAGAAGGCGTCCATGACAATACAGAAAAGGTAAGGGCTAAGAGGACACCCCTGCCTCAAACCAGCCGAAGAAGGAAAGAAACCTTCAAGTGCCCCATTCAAGACAATTGAGAAATTGACATCAGAGACACAAGCCTTAACCCAATTAGTATAGGTAGACGGAAAACCTTTCTGATTAAGTCTAGCAAGAAGAAAATCCCTGGAGACGGAATCAAAAGCTTTCTTGATATCCAACTTAGCACAGAAAATTTTATCCCCACCTCTTTTACCAGCATGAAAAAGAATATCATTTGCAAGAAGAATGTTGTCCGTAGACACCCTAGAATTCACAAACCCAGCTTGGTTATCTTTAACAATCAAATACATGAACGGCTTGATTCTAGTAGCCATAGTTTTGGCAATGATTTTATAAAGCACGTTACACAATGCAATCGGTCTATAATCAGAAATATTAGAAGCATTTTTCTTCTTAGGAACAATGGCAAGAGCAGTAGCCTTAACACCTTTTGGGAGATAACCTTTAATGAAAAAAGATCTGATAGCCCTACAGACATAGGGACCAAGGAGGTGCCAACCAGATTTATAGAAATGAAAGTTAATACCATCAGGGCCAGGGGCAGACTTAGAAGAGCCAGAGAAAACAGCAGCTTTAATTTCACCATCCGTCACAAAAGAAATAAGAGAATGAGCTTGGTCAGCAGCCAAAGCAGTCCCCACAGGGAAAATAGCCATATCTCTATTGCAAGGGGGAATGGGATTATAAAGATCTTGATAGTAATTAATGATGGTAGCAGTAACTTCCTCTTTAGAAGTTTGAGAATTATGGTTGAACAGATTAATAACCGATTTCTTACTCCCCATTCTAATCCTAATTTTAGCATAGAGGAATTTAAGATCATCTTCACCATATTTCAACCAGTTAACCTTGGCTCTTTGAATGATCCAGGAAGCTTGCAAAGACATAAATTCAGCTAACTTGGCATTGTTCTCTTTATAAGCTTGATTCAGAGAAGAGCTGGAAGGATCAGCATGGAGAGAATCCAACAGAGATTGTTGAGTAGCATGAAGGAAATCAATGTGTCTAGTAACACAAGAGGAAGAAGCCCACTTCTGAGCTTTAATTTTCTGTTTAAGACTTCTCAGAGAATTGCAAAAATTAGCCAAAGGGTTACCCGAAAGCGGCAGGAGAAGGAACTCAGCAAGGAGAGACCAGTATTCATCAATCTTGGTCCAATAGTTCTTGAAGAGAAACCTATGCCTTGACTGATTATGAGATCCAGACAGTAAAAGAATCGGGGAATGGTCAGAGCAAGAAGGACTCTGAAAAGAGCAGAAGGAGTCTGGATAGGAATTCAACCAGGAGTCATTAACCAAGACTCTATCAAGTTTGATATGAATTGGATTGTCCTGACGTTGATTGTGCCACGTGAATTTACACCCAATCGATTGCAGGTCCAAAAGACAATTATTAAAGATCATGGAATTGAAATCAAACAGAGCCGCCTGATTAATATCAGAACCACCCAGCTTCTCAGAAGTGTACCTACAACAATTGAAATCACCAATAATAGCCCACGACATATGAGAAGCAGGGGCAGCCAGACCAATGTCGTTCCACAAAGCTTTACGTTCCTGACTACTGTTGGAAGCATACACAGCAGTGAGTTGAAAAGGGGAAAATGAAGAGCCTGTCACAAGACCAGAAATCATTTGAGAAGAAATGAAATTGGGAGTGAAGTTAAGTTTGAGAGGGTCCCACTTGACCCATATTCTCCCAGACAACGCATGATCAAAATTGTGACAGCTTGATTCATTCTGAAAGAGAGAATGAGAAGACTCAAAAAACTGATCAGTTAAAGATTTCAACTGAATCCTGTTTTCCAACACACAAACCAAATCAAGATTAAACGAATCCACAAGTCGCTTAAAGCATAAAACTTTATCAGGGCGATTAAAACCCCTGATATTCCACGCCGCAAGGTGTGGAGAAGTCATTTGGTCTTAGATTGTTTTTGGGTTTTTTTGACCTGCTTACCCTTAGCAGTTTTTTTAGAAGCAGGACTGGACTGTTTGGATTGTGGCTTATTGCTCACATAATGCTGGAGATCCCCTCCGCCATCAGCCTTATCAGGGACAGAGATATCCTCATACTCTTCATTAACATAAGTTTGCGACTGAGAGTCTTCCTCTAAGTTTAAAGCATCAAATCTGTTAGGCGATACAGTAACTTTAGGAGCAGGGTTATTGATGAGAGGGAGTGAGCTAGTGGAGGAAGAGGTTGCATTATTGGGAGAGTTAAGATTAGGGATCCCAACCCCAACTCCCACCAAAACAGACTGAGACGCAACAGCATTAGGAACCAGGGTAAGATCAGTGGAAGAGGTTACTACTTTGAAAGGAGGCGGAGAGTGAGGCTGGTAATGTAAATCTTTACCAAGCACACTAGAAACCCCCTGATCAGTAAAAGAGCCACCATTAGAAACTTTCGGAGGAGGAGAAGAAGTTTCCTGCTCAGCAGGAAGATTAACAGGCTGTTGATTTTTGGACTGCTTGCGATTATGGGGCCTCCTACTAAAGCTTCTGCCGCGTTTCTCCACATTTTCCTCATTTAAAACCACTTCAGGCTTAGACGGACAAGAGGAAGAGAAGTGCATTAGAGACTTACAGTGAGAGCAGGGAAAAGGTCTCCATTCGTATTGTACCTTCAAGCACACAACATCCCCATCAAGAGAAACTTTAATCTCCTCCGGGTAGGTCGCCGAGCAATCCACAAGAACGCAGACACGGGCAAAAGTGAGGCGAGATTTCTGTTCTGTTAGGCTGTCGGCAGCAATAGGCACCCCAATCTTACTTGCAATCCTAGAAATCCCTTCGGAATTCCAGCATGCAAGCGGTAAATCATGGATTTTGACCCAGATGGGAACAGTCTTGAAATCTTCTTTCAAAGGTTTGAACTTGGGATGCCATTTCTGCAAAACGAATGGCTTACCCAACAGGAACCAAACACCTCTGGACCACGCCATTTCCAGATCTTCATTGCAAGAAAAGCGTAGAAGAAAAAAACCGTCACTTAAGGAGAGGAGCTGCACCGAGCCTATCAACTTCCAGGTCTTCTTAATGGCCCCAAGTAAAGCTTCGTAGTAAGGTCTCCTTCCTATCGAGTAGCCAACCAGACATAGCTTCCAGTCTTCACCCCCCTGAAGAAGCTTTTCCCCAGAAAAAGGAATGACTTCAGGCTCCTCAGGAAAGTGAGAAAAATTAAAAGCTTTGGGAGAGTCTTTTGCAGGAGCAAAAACATTAGACCAATCTCTCGGGACGATGGGAGCCTTCCCTCCAGCTGAAGAACCAAGCGGAGGAAAATCAGAGGTTGGAAAAGCAGATGCCATCGGAAAAAGGATGAAAAAGTCCTCCGGCCTCGCCGGAGGAAGAGCGAAGAAGAGAGATCAGAAGGGCGCAAGAGGAGAAGCTGAAACCCTAGCCGCCCGACCCTAACTCAAAACCACACCCTCTTTTAATTTTTCAAATTATAAAATATTAACTTTTGATCATCAGCCAATTTTTTACTGTGCAGGCTCATCACTGTTGCCGCCAGATGTCGCCGTCAACCATTCACCGCTGGTCCGCTGCCAGCTATATCACCATCACATTCACATCATGCCAATGCCGCTGGGTAAATTGAATTCATCTTACAATGTTTCTTTTAATATGCATTAATTGTCTAGCAAATCAAGCTGCAACTAAGTTTTTCAAGTTTTTTTTTCAATGCCGTTACATTTTCCGGGAAATAAAATGCTCGCCGGTTGCCTCTCTATTTCTCAACAAAATTTTAATTCTCAATTTTCCTCTCTAGCTACCCATCCGCCGGAGCCAGCCATGGAAGAACTCCTTCGCTTCTCCATCTCAATCCTGCTCATCCCCCTCGCCTTTCTCCTTCTCAACTTCTTCATCATTCAAGCCCGCAAGACTCGCCAGGTCACTGTGTCACCACCATCGCTGCCAATCATCGGCCACCTCCACCTCCTCCGCCCTCCCCTCCACCAATCCCTCCACCAACTCACGTCCCGCTACGGTCCCGTCATCCACCTCCGCCTCGGCTCCACTCCCGTCATCCTCGTCGCCTCCGCCGACGCCACAAAAGAACTCATCAAAACCTACGACCAAGACCTCTCCGACCGTCCCCTCACCGCCGCCGCCCGCCACTTCGCCTACGACTCTTCCGGCTTTGCTTTCGCTCCTTACGGCCCTTACTGGCGCTTCATGAAAAAGCTATGCATGTCGGAGCTCCTCTCCTCTCGCACCGTCGACTGTCTCGCACACATCCGCCGCCGTGAGCTCCGTGCCCTGCTTCGAACTCTTGCGGCGAAGTCCGCCGCGGCTGAATCTGTTGATCTGAGTAAAGAGCTCATAAGGATGACGACGAGCATAATCGCCGGAATGACGGCCGGAACGGCATCCGCAGGAGATAGCGAGGCGGCGAGGAAAGCCGTGAAAGGAGTAGCGGAGCTCATCGGGTCGCTCTACTTGGCGGATTTCATTGGGTTTTTTCGCTATTTCGACTTGCAGGGCTTCAAAAAGAGGATTGAGCAGGTGCGAGATGATTTCGATGAGTTGATGGAGAGAATCATTTCGGAAAAAGAGGCAATGAGGAAAAGCTGCTTGGGTGGAGACGGCGACAAGGACTTGCTTGATATACTGCTCGATGCTGCAGAGAACGAAGCGATGGAGATCCGGTTAACAAGGAAGAACATCAAGAGCTTCATTCTAGTATAAATTCTTGCTTCAGATAGTTAAATTATAAGACAATTCATTTTATTTTATAATACTTATTAATTTTATAGAAATAATTAGTTATAAATGGGTTGATTTCTATCAACTATAACAAAGATGCAAACTTTCTCGATCCATTTTTATAAAGACACACCAACTTGTTATGAATTGCTGGAGCAGTTTCAATTATTTGGGCCACCTTTTTCTTCCGCTAGGCGCTACCAGAGCCTTAATTATTGCATTTATATTTGACTGACTATCTTTCTTTCCTTCCTGTATACTCGTTTTAATTTACTTAGGATATTTTCACCGCTGGGTCAGACTCTTCTGCGGCTACGACAGAGTGGGCTTTGGCTGAGCTCATAAACCACCCTGAAATGCTATCAAAGGCAAGAGAGGAGATTGACAACGCCGTGGGGAGGAACCGCCTCATCGAAGAGTCTGACATTCAAAACCTCAAATACCTCCAAGCAGTTATAAAGGAGACACTGAGGCTCCACCCTGCAGCTCCCATGGCTATGAGGAAAGCAACCAAGGACATCAAACAAGGCGAATACGAGATCTTCAATGGAAATACAGTAATCATAAACGTTTATTCGGTGAATAGGGACCCCAAGTACTGGGAGAAGCCATCGGAGTTTCGACCGAATCGATTCATGGAAGATGGAGATCAGGAGCTTAGCTACAAAGGAATGCATTTCCAGTACTTGCCGTTTGGAAGTGGGAGGAGAATGTGCCCAGGTGCAACTCTGTCTGTTCAGGTTATAACGATGACATTGGCTGCGTTGATTCAATGCTTTGAATGGGGAGAAGATGGTGGAAGAGTTAAGAAGTTGGATATGAGCGAGGGGCCGGGGATGGTCATCCTCAGGACGAAGCCATTGATTTGTGTTCCGAAGACTCGCCTTCATCCCCTTCCACCGGAGGTTCTTAACCTCTAAACATTTGGCTATGCTCTTCGTATATAGATCCAGTATTCCTTGTTTGAAGATATCTGCATGCATGGTAGTGAAGCATATAAACTTGTTTGTGGTGGTCAGTTTTTGTATGATGGAAGAAAATCCTATCGGTGTTGTCGCTGAGAGGGGGTGTTGGTTGTGTTGGTGTGTCTTTGGCTGTTAATAGTATGATTTTGCCATCGCTGTTATCAGTTTTAAGCCAAAGTTGAATGAATTGTGAGGTATGCTAAATCTTGTATTGTCATCATATGTTTTAATTAATTATTATAATTATTAGTACGATTTTTTATTGCATATGTTTCTTTATTTAATATTTTACCTTTATTTTCTTAAGGAGGTTGGAGTTAGGGCTGCAAGCGAACTGAGGGTTTGACGAGCTGCTCGTGGCTCGGTTCGATAAGAGCTCGTTCTTGATCGTTTAATTAGTTAGTAGAACAAGTTTGAACATTTTCGTAAATACTTTATGCGTTATTAAACAAGTTTGAACAACTGTGTCTGACTCGATTATGTTTGTGAACAAGATTGTTTAAAGCTCGTAAACATGTTCGATGTGAAGCTCAATAAGAAGCTTATGAACACAATTGATATAAAACTCATGAGCAAACTCGATTAATGTTTGATATCGAGATCGATTAATTATCATTAATTAATTAATTATATATATATAATAATAATAATAATAATAATAATAATAATAATAAATTATATATTAATTGATATTATGTTCTTACATGTCATTTAATTATTAATAATAAATTAATTACTAATTAATAACATTCTTAATTTTGTTATTTGAGCAATCAGACGAACAGGTGTACAATGGTATATTGAGATAGTTAAGACTTACATCGCTCCAACATGCACAAACAAAGATAATATATTGCTTCTCATTCTCAGTTGCCCTAACCCTATTTGCTCTTACGTTGCTCCGAAAGGACCGAAGCCCACTTTCTTCTTGTGTTCGAAACCCTCCTCTTCCCCTACGTCGTTCGTCCCTTACTCGTTCATGCCCGATCTAAACGGACATACAAATTCGTCTTCGTCGTTTTCTCTCCTACCTCCCTTCAATCCTCCAAAACATATGACAGCCATCTTGCAGGTTTATTCAATCTCTTTTTTTTTTTTTTTGGCATTTGTTTCCCTTTTTTGTGGTTCCTCTCTTCTAATGTAAATCACTGATCATAGTATTTCTGACTTCTGATCTCTTTTCCCATGCTCATAACCCTCAAACACATCTCGCAGTATTTTTTTTGGTTTTCTTTCAATTTTTTTTTTCGCTGGTTCCTATGGTGTCGTTGAATTGCATTGAAATCAGAAACTAGATACCATGGTGGTGGATTGGCAATTCGCATCTTTCGATCAAAGCTTTCATTTTCCTATCAGTTTGTCCTTTAGAGTTTTGAGTTTGGAAAAAGGAAAGGTGCATTTCACAGTTAAAGCTTTGAGAGAAAAGCTATATTTTAAAATAATAATATTATATTTTGAATATGTTATGATGATCCGTTAATATATTATCAAAAGCTTTTAGGATAACTATTTCCAACATCATCTCGTTGTTTGCATAAGTTTCTAGGAAGATAATGTATTATGATTTTTGTAATGGTATTTGGTAATGTTTAGATGCACCTCCTTATAATGTTATTTTGTAATGATATATGATTACTCACTAACAGTAATTTTTTTGAAAGATATATATGTTACAAAATTCGTCAGAATAAATTAATTCCATAGAGGCAATGCCCAATCTTCCACAATTATCAATGCATAATAATGAGTTTAGTGTTTGGTCATCTTCAATACCAATTATTGCATCTATAGACGATCAAACTTAAATTGGGAACATTTGAAAGTGGTGGCTTTATGATGAAGCTCACGAGTAATTTTATTCTGACATTTTTGGACTTTTGGAGCTGTCATGCTATCATTTGTTATTGCTATTGATAGAGAAGATACTCTTATACTCCTATTCTTTTATTTCTATGCATTTTAAGTCGTATTGGCCGTAGCATTACACCCTTAATTATCCTACTCTAAAATCTTTAAGAAAATTATTCTATTCAAAATGTTGTTAGATTCCTATTACAATTCTTTCTTATTGTTTGTACCTGGAATTTTGATTCAATTCCTCTTTATTCTCTTAGTAGTAAAAATCACAAGATTTCTCTTCAACTGAGGTTTAGGGATTTTCTGTTGAACTATTAAATGATTGATAATAAATTATTGGGATCTTTAAGAAATGAAATTTGATTCTTATTTTAATCACAGGAACTTCATGTAAAGTTGAGCCTATATGCATATGAAGGTAACATTCTGCTGCTATGTTGTGCATTTTTTCATTCTACCTTCATAAATAATAATTTCTAGTTTCTATGCTATACAATAATTAGAATTCCTCAATTTCTTCTACCTTTTGTAACTTTTCACGTTATGTGAGAATATAACATAAAAGTCACCTTTTCAACGAATGGTGCTTCTTTGTTGTGCTTATTCTCTAGTGTTAAAATGATGAAATTGGGAGCATTTGAAAGTGGTGGCTTTATGAATTATGATGAAGCTAGCGGCTAGTTTTATTTTGGCATTTTTGAACGTTGACTTGATATTCCTCAAGATGAATTTATGTTATTTACTTACAGCTAACATTTTGGTCTTTGGCATGTTATGCTATGTTAACTTCATTTGGTATGGTGGGAATTTCTATGGTTTACCAACATTTTGATGCTTTAGTTAGTTTGGTGGGATTCTTATTATGCCTCAGACATTCTTATTATGCCTTAGACATAATGTCCTTCCCTCACTACAAGAAAACCCGTCATTACCGGTGGACGTAATCCACGGTAATGTAGAAAAGACGCCAGTAATATGTCGTTTCTAGAATGAAATGAAATGCCAGACGGGCGCAGGTTCGAAAATAGGGCTTTCGCCGGCGGGCGTTCCGGCGTATTAACCGCCGGAATAATTACCGGCATCTATGTCAACGAAAACATTTCGTTGTGTTTAAAATGTTCGGCGTCTAATCCGTCAGTAAATACGACGGTTATTACCGACGCCAAATACAACGCTATAGATGATACGCTTATGTATTCCGACGTCTAGACCAGCGTCATGGGCATCATAAACTTATCGACGCTGACTCCGCCGGAAAAAACGTCGTAATAATTCCGTTGCATAAGACGCCGGTTTAAACGTCATAGTTACCGACGGATATAATTTTGCCGGAAGATCCGACGGTAATACTGTGTTTTCCGGTAGTACCTTAAATTTCCAAAACAACTCCCCTTGGATGTTCAATTTAGGAAACCAAGGGGGTAATGACCTTTTCTCTAAACCTGACAAATTGAATTTCAATTCTAAGTCCAAGCATTAGCTTCAATTTATTTGTTTTACATATATGCAGCTTCTTTATCATATTTTGCAAATTCAGTTCATGTTATTCATCTATTGCTACATTGGTTGAGATATTGGACTTTGGAGCAGTCATGATATTCATCTGTTGCTGCTCTTGTTGTTGTTGACAAAGAAGATACTCCTATACTCATATTCTCCTATTTCTATGCATTGTCATTTTTAATACTTATTGTTTTCCTTCTGGTTGAGTTGCAGCATAAGATTGGAAATACGGTGCAAAGCAGCTACCATATGTGGTTTATAAAAATGAAATTTTGTGTTTCTCTCTTCATACTTAATTATATTTTACTTGATGCAATTAGTCAGCTCTGACTGATGGTGACCTGATTATAAATGAGTGTGATTGTGAACAAAAAATAGATAATAATATGAATTAAAAATAGAGAACATAAATATTAAAAATAAAAATGGAAGAAATTCTTCTGCTATAGATTTCGGGGCATAACAATTTAACTAATACTAATCCACCTAGACCAATACTATTCTAGGTAACCAAGTCTCACCTACTCAAAATATGCTTGTCAGAGCAGTCTACAAACACCAAAAAGTACGTCAAAATTCTCACTTTCCTGTGATCTCACAATGCGATGCATCATATTTTATATTCATATCCATCACCTTCTCCATGATCTCTAGTGCTTAGTGGACATACAACGCATGGGAAGTGCATTAATTAGAAATAAATGTCTTAAGGTTTTTATTAGGGTTCCAATCTTAGCATTCATCCTTAGAGGATTTAACTCAGCTAATCTATAAGGGGTGGTTCCCTATTTTTTCTTATATTCTTCTCCTTCTACAAAATCTTTTCCTTCCAATAGAATCACCAATTATCTCCCTACCCTAACTACTATCATGATCAAAGAGTTAGTGTGCCGTTATAGTAATGTAGATAAAGACTATTGAACTACTCTATGTTATGTTGTTCATTCTCTCTATCTCTCTCTATATCCCATGCACTATATCTCTTTCCTTCAACCCAAATAAGTTAACTCAAAGACTCCCTATTACATTATTATCACGTTACTAAAATCATGCATGAAAAATGACCAAAGCACAAACCTTATATGCACTCGAATTAATTACAATTATGCATTAATTTCCTCCAACACTAGTTAAGTTTCTATTTTAATACTTATGTGTTCATTAGTTAAAAGTGATGCAAACTCTTCTCGAGAGTTTGAGATAAAGAACACATGTATTGAGGTTTGATACTAATGTAAAGTAGGAAAACATTATGCCCAAATTACTCCATAAGGAAACAAAGGAATGAATTATATACAAAGGAGGAAGCATAGTTCAATAGGACCAACATCAACTATAGGGACAATCGTAATATTTATTCCTTACCCTATATAGAACATAAAGAACATGGTGTACTTCTTATAGGTACATATTCATGATAAAAATAAATAAATAAGTACCAGTGAGAGAGAATTTAAATGAAGAATGAGTTTTTCTAAGAGAGAATTATAACATGGAGATAAATCGATAGAGACAAAAATTAATAATGAAGATAAGTTGAGCAGTTTGTGTTGAATTTCTTTATAAAGGTTTTATAAAAGTAGTTTTCCAACCAACTAATTATTCAAGCAACCCATTTAAGTTAGGTGATGATGAGTATTTATAAGGGTCAAATAACCTTGAAGTCATGACCAATCATTATGATAATTTAAAGGTATCAAGATAATGCTTTTTGACAACTTCAATAATGTTTAATGAGGTTGCACATGCATATGTTTTGATCATCAAGGCAAAATATGTAATACCCACTAAAGCTTGTGCAATTACACATGTTCTGACCCAGACTAGTAAAGGCAGTGTAATAGAATTTATGCATTAATACTTCATTTAGTTACTATCAAGTACTATAGCTAGCCCATCATTACATCATATAGTCAAGTAATGAAAATATGAAACTCTAATTATACCTAGCCTAGGATGCACAATGTCATATTATCTAGTACTATATGCTAAGTTATGTAGGCGGCTATCTAATTAAGTATTTGATATTCAAGTTATATGCTAGAATGTGGATATTCATAATTTTTTAGTTTAATCAATAATGGTTTAAGGGTCCCCAATTCATTTTATGATTTTATGAGTTTTAAAACTAAATGTCATAAAGAACAGAAAAGGTGAACATAATTCATTTTATATATAAAAAAAAAAATCACCCTATAACCTAAGTTTAAAAGAAATGTGACATTATATAAAAACCTGAAGGGTAGATATAGTCCATTATAAAATTCTTGTTCTTAATTGTTGAAAAATTAAAACAATAATAGAGGACTAAAATACTAATTAATATAATTAGCCCTATGATAAATTATGCTGCCATGAATTCTTAAAGCTTATCCTAAGGTGAAGTGGCCCAACAAAATGATCTAAAGGTCAATTAAAATAGTGCCATTAATATGTTTTTATGGTTTTTAACATTTTTAAATAATAATGAGATTTTTTTTGAATTTTAATAATTAGAAAATAAATCATAAAATATTCTCTATGTATCTCACCTAATGCTTGAAGCTGGTCTTAATATACTTTAAATTCAATGATGTAATTTTTTTAGTGTTTTTAAATAATTTAACTTTAGTACTTCTCTCAAAAGTGTTTTTTTATTATTTAAAGAGGATGAAAATTAATTTAGTGAATTAAATCACACGTAAATTTTAATATAAATAACATGAAGTGTTGCCTACGCATTTTAAGGAACTTAAATATACATTCCTAATTTTATATTTTTTAAATAACATGAAGTATTACATTCCTAATTAAATATACATTCCTAATTTTATATTTTTTAATTATTTTTTAAATAAAAATAGGTTTGAAATACTTAGAAAGTTCTAGAACTATAAACATTTCTAAAGTCTTATCAAAGATTAATTATGTTAAAATAAACCATACCAAATAAGATCACAATTTTAGAAGTTGGAATGAAGCCATTATGAATTTCTTAAGATTCCGTAAATTTCAAATAAAACATTGATGTATTGAAAATAATAGTTAATTAATTTATTAGATAAGTTTGATTTCAATACAATTTTAAAAATTAATCTCGCATTTTTTTTTATCAAATTTTGATTTATTAAGAAATTTTAAGTATTTTGAATACCCTAAATTGGATTAATGAGATTGCCTACTTATCATTGTCGATTATCAAGCACTTTTAAATGAGCCAACCTCCTAGAGGTGGAGCTGAGGCCCATAGAGACTCATAGCTTCAAGCTTGACCGGATGTCTTACATCTCGTGTTAGTCTCAAGAAGGAAAAGTAAAGTCCCGATTTTTAAGAATGGTTGGTTCAATACACAATCTATTTAAATAATTTAATTTAATATATAATTATTTTATTAAATATTAAATTAATTTAAATATAACACAAATTATTTAATAATATATAAAATTTTAAATTATTATATACCAAGCATTAATTAATCATTTAGTAAAAATTTATATTAAATTATATACTTATATGTAAAATAAATTTAGATTAAATATAAAATTTAAAAAAAAATAAAAAATATTTAAATTTAAAATTATAAAATAATATTATGCCTGAATTCTCTTTATTTTTTAATCATATTTATATGGTTATTTTATTTAAACATTATTTAAATAATTTTAATATTTATTGTTCATTTAATTTTATTAGATTTTCATATTATTAAGAGTCTAAATTTTTAGAATTATGAAAATTTTTTAGGTTAAATAATGATATTATTATATTAGTTTTATCAAATTTTAATAATATTATAATTATTATTATTTATTCCATTTGGTTCGACTCCCGTTGAATCCGTCGAACTGGTCCGATTTTACAAGCTTCGGCATTAGTCTAATGATTTATAGATTTTCTTTTCCAAGGTTTGCTAACATATTGTCTGTGAAGACTAGGGTTTTTGGATGACTTGACGAAGCTCCGCTGCCCAACAGAGACAAGAGAGAGTGAAACGAAATGAGCCGGAGCCTTGGGATTCCGGTGAAGCTTTTGCACGAGGCGGCGGGACACGTCGTGACAGTGGAGCTTAAGAGCGGCGAGCTCTATAGAGGTAGCATGATCGAGTGCGAGGACAACTGGAACTGCCAACTCGAGAACATCACATACACCGCCAAGGTTCCTTTTATTTTCTTCCTATCCTCTCTTTCTTCACGCGATGCGCTTGGACAGGGGTGGGGTTAGGTTTCGTTTTGCCTTCTTTTGCTCTCTGGTAAATGTGTCCGCCTTTGTTTCTCGTATTAGTTTTGTTGTTTCTCTTTGTCCATGTTAAGTTTGCTCACTTTTCTTGATAAAGTATACTCTGCGATAGATATAGGATCAATGGTACTACGAAACCTCAATCGATTATTTTAAAAATTTTCTGCGGTACTTCTTTGGCACATTACGACAGTTGGAAAAGCAGAAAACCAACGCAAAGGTGAAAAATTTAATTAAAAAAATTGAATTCCATTAGCTGCTGCTCATTTTGAATTAAGGTAACATAAACATTTATGATCTTTGGTCCATCCTTCTCCATTTTTTGAATTGCCAATTCTGTCAATGTTAGGTTTTGGGCTGTAGTCTACTTTGTAGACACTTTGCTTTCAGTTTAGCGGGTTCATGAAGGAGTTGTTATGTTTTTTGTACTTTTTATTATTTTTCAACTCTTACTGCTGTCAAAATTACATCTGCTGCAAAGATATATTATGGATCACGGTGTCTGCATCCTTCAAAATCTGCTTGCCCCGTGTTGTCCCACCCCATACACACACAATGATGGTTTTCTCTGATCTGTCACATTGCTATAATCAATTGGATCCAGCTTTGAATTCCTCCCTGGAAATTTTAATGTTGAATTTGATTAGTAATTGAGAAGACAGTTTCAAAAGCCCGATCCTATAGGTGTAGCCAACTCTGAAAATTCATAGTTGTGTTAAAACCGACCATTTTGTTATTATTTTTACTCTATCAATGTTATGTTCCTTTTTGTTATGTATCTCAACATCTTAATCAACAACTTGCTGTCCTGTGTTGTTAATGTTTTGAAAGAGTACATTTTATGAATTACACACAGGATGGTAAAGTGTCACAACTTGAGCATGTTTTCATCAGAGGAAGTAAAGTCAGGTAAGTTTTGGTATTAGATAAAATTTATTTCCTTAAGTCACATATTCTTTTCTTAGTTTTTAAAACTGAACTTGCGAACTTTCTGCAGATTTATGGTCATACCTGATATGCTAAAGAATGCTCCAATGTTCAAACGTTTGGATGCAAGAATCAGGGTATGCAGTCAATTCTTGTTTCCTTTTCCATCAGCTTTTCTCTACTGTTTCATTGATTTTGATCAAGGGGATCTCATACTAACTATTTGGATTTTGTAAAGGGCAAAGGATCTTCTCTTGGTGTTGGGCGTGGCCGTGCAGTCGCAATGCGTGCAAGAGTAAGTTTATTTTCAGAAAATTGATTTTCTTTTTTCTTTTGAAATAATACTCTTTGTCTATCCAACATCTTGTGTGCAAGCATATGTAGGTATGGACATGCATTCATACGCTTGAACTTTTTATGTGCATGTTCTTGCATCATCATCATCACCATTATACTTTTCCCAACTTTTAAGAAACTAGCTCAAATTATCATAGACTTCCTGAAAGTTGAAAAAGGCAACCCTCATCATCATTAGCATCATTTCCACTACCACAACCATTACCTCAAAAATGTAGGCATGAAGTAAAGTTATGCATGGACCTTTCTCTTTCTCATACACCTAAATAGCATAATTTTATTAGCAACCAAAAAGAAAAGGTAAAAAAAAGGGATAATTTTGTTTCCATATATTATGCATGGGTTTCTATTTGTTTTTTCTTAAAGTTAAAAAATGGTGGTTGAAAACTTGGTGTTGGTGGGGGGTTTTCATACTGCACTATATGTTAATGAAACTTTTTGCATGTGTTTATTTTAACAACTTGTCTGATAATCTTATTTTAGAGACCAATGAAAGTGACATGTTTTGAGTTCTACATTGAATCAAGAGTGATTGGTTGTTTTACTTATCATTTGAATAACGGAGAATTAGATTAAACTGGCGGGTGAGATGATTTATTCCTTTTTTTTTTCAAATTCTCTGATTTATGTCTTGTAAGTTTGCAAAACATCCAATCATTAAATGAATAGAAGGGGTAGAGGAAGAGTAGACAATTTGCCAATTAGGTGAGTACATAATATCAGTGTTATATGATTATAAAGGAGAAGTGTTAGAGTAAATTTGTTATTAATAAAATTATTCAAAATGATTTGCAAAGAATAGATTTAACACTTCAGATGGCACTGAACATAAATGAATGAAAACTAATGATTCATAAAGTTAAACCCAAATGGTTGGGATATGACTAATAATGAAGTTGAGAAAGTTTGTGTTGGCTCTACTATACAGTATAAGAGGTTGAATGTTGAATTATTTTCACGACTTTTCATAACTTCAAATATCAATATTAAATACTAAAGGCTGCTAAAATTTGGAAAAGAAATATTGCAAAATGAAACTAATGGAAGGAGGCAACAAATGGAGTTGCGTAGATTATAAGCTATTTTATATTGGGAACTTAATATTAGGAATGAAAATAAGAAGGCAATGCAGAAATGAAGCGAAACAATAAGTTTTCTTTAGTTGATAGGTTTATTATTACCATTATTAAGCTTATTTCTACTATACAAGCAGTGAATCTTTATGCTCCAAAATTGATCTAGTGAAAAAATTAAAGAAATACATTTCGAATTGATATATAGATTACTTCAATGTATACTAAGATTTAAATGATAATTTTTGCTGGGGATTTAAATGGACATGAAGCTGCTAGCAAATAGGTTATCAAAGATTAATAGTATTTTTTTTGGATATTTCAATGTTGAGCTTAGGTTGATTCAGTAAAAGATGGTTAGTTCTAATAAAAATGTTATCATAAAAATTTTTGCGAGTAAAAATAGATTGTACATTAGTAATGAGAGTTTGTGAAGTGATTAGGGACGGAGTGATTACAGAAAAATTGTTTGGTACCAATATTCAAGAATAAAGGAGATACTCAAGATTGTAATAATTGTGGATGAATCAAATGTATAATGATGTTTTGGGAGACGGTAATAGAACAAAGACATTGGAAAAAACCTAGTAGTTCTGGAGAATTAATTTGACTTTTTCCATATGTTAAAATTCCATGGAAGTAATTTGTGGTAAGGCAAGTAATGTAGTATAGAGAATGGAGAGCATGATCCAACGATTTTTATTTATTTTGATAAGGCATGTGATTAAGTTTTATCATAGTTGATTTGATGCACAATAAAGAAGTAAGATATGTGTCAAAATTATGTTAAAGTAATTAGTATATGTATAATGAAACATTGACTAGTCTTAGAAGTAGTCATGGAGTGATAAAAAGTTACCAATTATAATAGGTTTGTATCAATAATGTACATTGAGTTTGTATCTTTTTATATCAATTATGAAATGCTTTCAAAGGGTCTTCGTTGTGAGGTTTCTTGGCTTATGGTTTTTGTATATGTAGTTCTAATTAGGGAGACTTTGTTGAGATAAACAACAACAATGTATTGAGATAAGTGAAATATTTTAACAACATAAAAAGGAATTAAAAGATGAATGGTTTGTAATCAGTACAAGAAAGATTTAATATATGCTATACAAAATTAATGGGTGTGATAGTAACAAATAGTAATTAATATTATTAGAAGATAAAATAATATATTGGTATGACAGATTTAAGTATCATAGATTTATTACTCAAAATTATAGAGATATATATGAGTATATAGCTTCTATGTATGGTAGGGTGGCTAGAACGTGATGTGCTTCATGCATTATTTATGAAGGTGAACTTTTAGAGAATTAAAGATAAAATTTAACAAAAAAATGCAATTAAATTAGGCATGCTGTATAAACCTGAGTGTTGGGCAATAATATTAAAGTTGTTGATTGTTGTATTGAGCACATCGAAAATGAGAATATTTAGATGAATGTGTGATAATATACTAAGAATTATTGAAATGATGATGCGAGTGACATCTAGTTTTTAATTGAAGATAAGATAATTTAAACTATATTTAGGTGATTTGGACATGCATAATAAAAGGTAGAAAATGCATCAATTAGATGGGTAAATGAAGTTAATGTCAGAGGACTAGGAAGAAAAATGGGTATACCAAATGTGATATGCATAGAAGTTGTTTAAAATGATTTGCGAATGATAGATTTAATGGTTTAACACCTAAGGCAACACTCAATAGAAATAAATGAAAAGTTATTATTGATAAATCATACCTCAAATATTTGGGATAAGTAAAATGATAATAATGATTTAATATTATATGTGAAGTGATTAATGATTTTCATAGAATATTATTCTGTAATTGAATACAGAAAAATGAAAGAGGGTTTATTAGCATTAAAAATGGAATATTTCTTCTAAGATGTAACAAGAAGTTATGAATGATTTATGGTAAATCTTGAAGTAAGCATCTACATTTGATATAACAAGTATCATAAGCATATGCCTTAGCATTAGGAGACAAAAGAATAAAAAAGTGAATGTTATATGAAAGAAATTTCATTTTAAAGAGAATAGGCTCTGGAGTGCGGAGTTTGGAGGTGTAAAAATAATTGAGAGAAAAAAATATATCCTTTAACAATGATAAATAAAAGTAATTAATCATAATAAAAAATAATATACAAACTGTAAATGAAAGATACATGATTGTGAAAAAAGCCACACCGGTACATAATTTCTATATTAGATTGACATCTTGAATTATATGGATTAAATAATGAATAAATTTAATAAGGTAAGCGGAAGGAGGTCAAGTGGCTTTACGTAATTGTGTTAAGAGTGAATATAGTTGATAAGCCCTTAAGAAATATTTGTTTGAGCCTTGTTCAATCTAGAATACCATGATAGCTTACTTGATCTATGTGTAGTGATGGCGAAAGAAAACAATGATCATTTTGAATCTACATGGTAAGATAAAACCTATGGAAATCAACACTAGGTTGCATTAGAATTCCGATTGGCTCCAACCCCAATCTCGAAGATATCCTGTGTCCTATTTTGGTTCTTCGACATTATTATTCATAACATTTAGGGCTAACATTTATCCATTCATTACCCTAAGGACATAATGATTGGTTCAACTCCAATCCTAAAGACAAGGTGCCTTGGAACATAATCCTTAGATCGATTGAAGGATCAAAGTGTCTTTAGTGGCATGTCATTTTTGTCGAACTCATTATTTGCAATAAGCGAGTGATTATTGTGAATGACATAACTTATAGGACTTTACCAACTTAAAACTTTTTTTGACATGCAATAATTTTATGTCATTTGTGAACTGTTTTTTTACTTTCCCTAATCGACTGATTTGTGAAACAATATAGCAGTTGCAGGAATTATAGGAAAATTTATAAAAAAATTGATAAACTTTGTAATTAAAACTTATTGTTTAACCAGATTAGATTCTAGGAACCCTTAGTTATTGTTTGCTTTGGCATGCGGCTACAAAGTAGATTAGTTGGAAACTTAAAATAGCATCAAAACAACATTAAAGATTAATGTGCAACTAACATAAATCCACCAGTTAACAATTAGAATAATCACCTTGAGTTTTCCTCACTCACACTCTTGAGGGCTTTTAGTGGGAGAATAATTTATGCAATAATAATAATGCCACCAAAGTGCAGAAAGCGTTTATAGTCTTGTTCAAGGAAAATCCAACCGAGAAGGAGGTAGTTGATGGATGATGGAGGATTTGCCACTGAACGAGAAATTGATGCTCGTCGATGGTGTCTGTCAAGGTGAAGATGATCCGATTGATGTAACCTTCGATGGAGTGGTCTATCTTGAAATTGATGTCAAAGAAGGGAGGCTGAAGAATATCTACTCGTCCTTGAGAGTCATACATAAATCCATGATCATGCTCCGAATCGGCCATTCATGAGCAAGTAGGCCGAGGGAAGTTGTGTGTCTTCTTCCTTAGATGACATATCAAGCATGGGAGAAGGGATGTAATGGAGGAGGGAGGGATTTGGGTGGTCAGCCAAGGCTAGGAGAGGGGCTAAATTTAATTTTCAGATTTTAGAGATGGGATAGGGAGGGAAGGTAAATTCCAAAATCTGAAATTTAATTTCACATTTAAGTTGGAATTGAATGTGATAAATTGAAATTTGATTTTTTAATGCAAAGAGGGAAAGGAGGGGGGAAGGGGCGGCCCATTGATGGAGCCTTTGATTGGTTAAGATAGGAGAGAGGAGGAGAGAGGAGAGGGGCAGCTATTACCTCCTTAATTGGAGTTCCAATTGGGGAAGTAAATAATTAAGAGAGAGGGAGGGAGGGAGGGGCTGACCAAAGGGAGTGGGATAGAAAGGTGTCCACATTCATTGAA